GGGAGGTACATGCAACCTTCTAACTATCTCACATCAAAAGAAAGAAGGACACCAAACGTTTCAATAGCCTTCGACTGGAGAAGGTTAGGTAAGGTTACGTTAATGTGGCACTCAGTCCAAAAGACCAACTCACGTAGACTGAGTGAGGTTTCTGACTATATTTTATGGAACCATTTTGAAGTTTTTATGAAGGTAGGTCCCATTGTGCCCCTATTTTAACTTTAGTTGTTTAGTATACACAAGAATTGTATTAACCCCTGCTGCGAAATCTGCATTGGGTCTACATATCGCTGAACGTATAGTTGTTTAAAACTCTGGCTCTGCGGTGACCTAGTGTTGGGCAGGTGGTAATGACGTGTTCCATTAGTTCCACTTATTCATCAAGTAACCCCTTCACCCTTATGACTAGGCACCCAGACTAAGGATACCCTACTTTGGGTGGCTAGATCATTGAGTGCTCTATAGCACTCTATAAGAGTTTTTGATGAGAACGAGAAGCTATCTAGAGCTTTGAGGATATATTGGATATCCGAAAGTATGGAGACGTGGACGGTCTGAAGTATGGCAACTACATATGTACTTCGGGATGGACTATCGTTGCGTCTTTACTTAAGGGGAAAGATGTGCGGAATCGCGGTCCGAAAACATCCGCACCTACACAGGAAGATGTGTCTTTGAACCATTGGTACCCCATTTTTCTGAATCATCGTACGGTCACGTGGGGTTTCTGCTGCAATCTTCACGAGTGAGAAATATGTTCTTTTACCTCTTCGTAAAGCTGGTGATCGGATCAATTTGGCCTGAGAACATAATTTTTACCATGGCTGCCTCCTTGAACTTCAAGATTTCTAGGTGCCCGACAAGGTCGCTTTGCTCGAATTTATTTTTCCTAAGTAGCATGAGTGTTTGCGTTGCAGCTTCCTCTGGTTTTGCCACACAAAGATTGATCAGAGCTTCCATACCTGCAGCGCGTGTTGTTTTCTTTGCTCCCGTTACATACAGGTCGTTGGATATTGCACAGTTTTTTAATGGGCGTTGTTTGAATCGTCTTTTTCTGAGTATAACAGGGTTATGCTTAGATATTTTACCTCCTCCTTTAGGGGAATCACAGTTTCATTTATGTTTAGATCTGGAAAGCATATTTTCCTTTTTCTAGTGGAAGCGATGATTGTTATTTTATTGGGATTTATGGACAATCCCACTTTCTTACATCAATTGTAAGTTGTAGAAGCATAGGATTGCTTTTATTCCGTCAGAGAGCTAAAGAATTTCCATCCCTAAAACCCTGCTCTGCTTTTAGCTAAAGCTGGGCAACTGGGAAATAAGTGTTCGACTTTTCCTTCCTCTTCCCCACCTCTCCAACTTCAACAAAATTTATGGGAGAATACTCCTAATCTCGAAGAGTGCCTACCGAATAGCTAATGACCGGCTATGCAGACCATGACTTTCGAAGTGTCCTCTCTTGGGAGGCTGAGCAGTTCTTCTGTTTTTTCCTTTTTTACTCATC